CCCAGCCAGCGTCCTTAGGCTTCAAGCTGTCCACACATATTAAAGGAGGTAGCAACAGCAAAAACCCACCACATACTGCAATAACCAGTTTATGGGGAAAAAGTGCATGGCCTTCCTTCTCACCAACCCACATATTGCATTTTCCTTACACACAGCAACATACTGTTCAATGGCTAATACTGTTAGACTTAGCAGAGAAATGCCTGCATCTGGAAGCAGTGTGGTTAACAGTGAAGAGTGCCAGACTGCTGAATTCACATTCCATCTTGACCCTTTACTAGCTGTGAGACCTTAGTTAGGCAAGTTACTTAAACTCTCAGTGCCTCAATTTCCTTCTCCGTGATATGCAGATAATAAAAGTACCTATCTCACAAGGTTGTGAGAATGACAAGTTAATACACATGAAACACTCTAAAGAGTACCCAGCAAAGTTCACCCTCAATGCTGGCTGTTATTCTCTTATTTTGAGAGTTTTCATTTCACCTCCTGACCACTTCTTTTTTTCATTTTTCTCTTCCATTCTATAGTAGCTTCTGTTTGCTGCTGTGACAAATTAATTATATTACATTTAGTGGCTTACACAGTACAAATTGTTATCTTGTATTTCTGGAAGTCAAGAATCTGAAGTGAGGTGGCAGGATTACATTCTTTCTGGACACTCTCAGGAAGAATTTGCTCTCTCGCCTTTCCAGCTTCTAGAGGCAGCCTGCATTCCTTGGCTCTTGGTCCCTTCCTCATATTACTCCTACCTCCTGCTGGGGACCAATACGCTAAGCCTCTCTCTTTAAAAAAAAACCTTTACAATTAGGTTGGGCTCACCCAGAAAACTAGGGATAATCTCTCTCTCAAAATCTTTTTAATGACATCTGCAAAGTCCCTTTTGTTATGTAAAGTAGCATATGTACAGGTTCCTGTATTAATATTTGGACACCTTTGAGAGGTCACTGGCATTATTCAGCCCACTACACAAGCTTCTCCAAAGTCAATGATTAAAGACCAGCAAGACTTAGGTGGGTCCAATTTAGCCATAACTCAGTCTAAAACTTTCTAGTGAGCTCAGTTAAAAGCTACTTGGTTTCATCCAGTGAAAAGAATGCCAGTCATTCGTTTTGGGCAACAAATCCAGAGCGCAAAGCACAGTAGCCAAGAGAATGGACTCAAGCCAGCCTGCTCTGACTGAATGCTGGCTCTGACAGTTTTTCTGCTGTGGTTTTAAGAAAGTTACTTAAACTTTTAGTCCCTCAGTTTTCCCATCTTTAAAATGGGCATAATAATGGAGATCTATATGTTCTTATCCAAAATCTGAAGGGCAACTGTGATTCAGAAGCTTTTGGTTTTTTTACACTGGTGGGACAGTACAGGTGCCATGGGGTCCACAACCAACATGTTCATAATTTCTTAAACACAAATGACTGATTCATTTTCACCAGGGGAGAAAAAATTATAATCACATCACATCAGCACAGACCAATTTTGTAGCCACACTCAAGAAAACCAGTTTTCAGATTGCAGGTAAAGAATACTAGATGGTTGGTACTTACTGCCTCATGCTGGAAGGATTAAATGAATTAATAGATGTACAGTGCTTAGAATACTGCCTGGCATGTAGTAAGCACAATACATATAAGTGTTAATCAGTAACAAATGCAGTTGACCCTTGAACAACACTGGTTCTGGTTTGAACTACCTGGGTCCACTTATATGCAGATTTTCTTCTAACTGTGATTCTGCAATCTCAGATTCAACCAACCACAAACAAATTGAATCCCAGGATGGGGAAACCCCCCTACAAGGGACTTGAGAATCCTCAGATTTTGGAATCATAGAGGAAGGTGGTCCTGAAACCACTTCCCCCAGAGATATGAAAGGATGACTGTAGTTATACTCAGTCCTAGGGTGGGTGGAGGGGTTGGGTGTTGGCACACCTGACCATCACATGCTCATGGTCAACTCTACCATTATTTTCTTTTTCTTTTTTTTTAAAGATTCATTTATTCATATGAGAACTGGGGTACAGGCCAGAGGTGCAGGAGGGTGAAAGAATTCACCAGAGATGAGCGGGGAGCAGAACAGACAGATGGACCGAAGACACTGCTGAGGGGAGCAGAGGCGAGTCAGGAGAGGTCTGCTGCACCATGTGGGTTGCTCCCGGCCGGCAGGGAATCGAACCAGTGCTGCAGAGACTGCGCACAGCTTCACAGCAGGCGCTTAACCTGCTGTACCACCAGGGAGGCCCTACCATTATTTTCATCTAAAAAAAACTTTCCAGGAGACAAAACAGAAAAATTTTATTTTATAACTAAATTTGGTTTGGAAATCAGTACTTCGGAGAAGAATAGGCATTAACTCTTTAGAACAATATTCTGGGGCAGAATTTCTGAATGATGGAAATGTTCTTCATGATCCAGTATGAGAACAAGTACCAACTATTCAATGTAGCTCCCGAATACTTGGAAAGTGGCTAATTTCATTTAATTCTAATTAATTTAAATTGAAATGTGGTTTGTGGCTGCCATATTAGTCAGCACAGCTGTAGAGGGCTGTGTTCCCAATTTGGCCCAAGGAAACCTCTTTAAGCCATAATGAAGATGAATTACAGTTTTAAAAACAAGCCCAAGTTCTGTACCCTGGGAGCAGAGAGCAACATATGATACATGAGAGTTTTATCTTTTCTTGGCCCTATCACTGACTCATGGCAATGTGCATCTTTGATAACTTCTTTTTTCCTCTACTACCCACTCTTTCATCTCCAGCTCTTTTCTTGGGACCCCTCACAACTGGGCCATATGCTTCTCAGAGCCCACATTAATACCTCCCAGCCCTTCTTCAGGAGAACTGTGCTTCCCAATCAAATTCTAACTTCCCTTGACCATGCAAATTCCCACTTGTTCAATTCCAAAGATCTCAATGAAACATCAGGAGGAAAGCATCTTGATCATGCACATTCATACTGTAAGCTGTTATAGCTTCTCCTTCTGCATCCAGTATCTTGAAATTTTTGTGTCCGCCCCCGCCCCCCAGTCATCCTCACCTCCAACAGAGGTAGCCCAGGTAGGGAGGGGCGTCCCATAGTGGCTGCCTGCCAGCCGGTGTGTGGAAGGTGGGGACTAGCTCTGTGCAAACACCTCCTTTCACCCACATGGGAATCATTTCAGAGTCTCTGCTTTAGAAAACTATACTATCATGCACAATTCTTTTTAATCTTCCTTTATTCGTTTAGAAATTTGTAGTTAACAAATCAGACATCAAATGAATTTTCAAAAGTATACCACAAAAATCTAGAGTAGGCTGTGACTAAGAAGGATTGCAAATAGAGAAAACCAACCAACTTCATTTGAATCTAGCTACACCACAACTCACTTGAGCATGGAATTTTTAATGGCACAGGTCAAACTTGGGACAGATCCAAGGAGCTTATGTTACTAGAAGGACGGGAAGAACATCCCTCCAGCTAATCTCACTTCTCACTTGATCCCAAGGCATAGACCACAGATGATTATTATACACAGCTTCTGGGTATAGAGAAAATTTCCCCTGTGAGGTTGTAAATGGAGGACAATGTGAATGGCAAATATTATGCTTTTCTCCAAAGCCTTTTGATTATATCTCTCCCAAAGCAGAGATTTGTGAAGAATCAAACTCAAAACATTTAAAACCGATTCACAGTCATTTCTAGAGGGTCTTCTAGGTGCAAGCACTGCTCTAAAAAAGCTACAGTAAATGTCTTCAATAGGGAAAATGAGACGTGTGCACAAATAACTTCACAGAAAGGAGAAAGAGTAGGCCAGTTAAAATACTGCAGGAATCAGAGTACTGGAAAGGTGAGTATTTGGGGCTGGGGGAATCACAGAAGGCCTCACAGCAGCAACAAACTCAGTTTAAAGGATGGTTAGGATTTACAGTGGTGGAAGTTGGGGAGAAAGGGCTATCACAAAGTAAAAGGACCGTCTAGATGAAAGCATGGACAGGCATTCTTCAGTAAGCATTTGCAAAGACATGGCTGCAAACAGCATCCAGAGATCGTCTACCTCTCTGGTCCACCGTAGGACAACCGGGCCCCCATACAGGCATCTATGGGGTCACCTGCATTCATTTCCCAAAACAGGCTCTCAAAAATCGTCCCTTTTGGCCTCAGCAGTGCTCATTCTGTGGCAACGGCCCCACCCTCTCCCCAATAGGGGGTTCCCACAAGAAACAAGGGAACGAATTAACCTTACAGATATCTGAATGACCTATGGGTACATTCTGTATAATGCAACTAAAACTATAAACAAATAAAACCTTTTTGGTGAAATGAATCCTACCGAACACCTATTCGGGAAGCTCACTATTTAAAATGATGCTGCGCTGATAAATCTTGAAACGATAAATCTTTCTTACACAGCATAACTGGTTGAATCAGTTGAACCAAGGATCTCACGACTAAATTACCAAGTCAGCGGTGGGGGCGGGAGGGGACACCCCTAAAGGTATACTGTGCATTTAACATTAGCCAGGACGGAGGACTTCTAACTCAGTTACTCATTGTCACAGCATTAAAGAAGTTGAACAAAAAGGCGTCGCCATGCTTCCAGTTAGTGACCAGCTAGAGTGGGACCAGGTCCAACATCGCATTTCCTAGGACTTGCTCTAGATACATTTCTCCAGAATAATCTGAGCACCTTCCTTGAAATACTGTTGCTAAGTACTGCCCCTCAGGAGTTTACATTTTACTTCTTCGCACCGGCCACCTCCACGCCGCACACACAGCATGAGGTGGCGCCCTGAGGCGAACCTCGGAGGGCAGGCGTGCGGGGCACCCGGGGGCTGTCCAGCCCGGTGAAGGCTGGGCGCGTCCCCGGGGTGGCGGGGGCGCGCGGTGGGGCGCAGGGGGGTACACCCTTCCGCCAGGTTGGCGGCGTCAGACGCTGCCCCTGGCGGGGCTACCGGGGCCCGAGCTCACAGCCCGTCTCTGCCCGTGTCCACGCTGCAGGAACCGAGTTACAGAGTCGCCTCCTCACCTTTCCTCTGCTAGCCCGTCGCGCGGAGTCCCCAGTGCAGCGCCCCGCGGGGCGCGCCGATGGCTAGCGGCGTCGGGCGTCCCGGCTACTGTGTGTCAGAGGCAGGGCGGCTGCCAGGAGGCGCGAGAAGCAGGCAAGTGCCCGGGAGGCAGAGCCCGGGGCGCGCCCGCCCCGCGAGCCCGCCGGGGTCCGCCGCCCCCGCGCCCGCCCGCCCCGCCGCGTCCCCGGTGCGCCCGCGAGGGCGCCGCTGCCTCGCTCCGCGCCCGCCGAGCTCTGCGCGCTGCCCGGACGGCTGCGCGGGCGGCTGCCGGGCCCCCGCCCTGGGCTGGGCTTTCCCAGAACTCGCCAGCCCGGGTGGAGAGGCCGCGAGCGCCGCCGCGGGCCGCGGGGCGTTCGGGGGAGCGGCCTGAGCCGGGCCCGCCCCCGGCTTTCGGGAGCGCTGGGAAGGCGCGCGCGGGGGGCGGACCCCTCGACAGCCTCGCTGGCGGCGGGCGGCGGCGCGACCCCCGCGCGGCGCTGGAGGGGCCGGGAGGGTTGCGGGGAGCCGGCGAGAGCGCTGCTCTGGGGAGGGCGTGAGCGCTGCACGCTGAAGGCCCCGGGGATTTAAGCCACCCCCACGGGACTCCCTGCGTGGCAGACATGGAAACTGAGGCTCATGGAGGATATTTTGCTGTCTAAGGTTACTCTAGGAAGTGGCAGCACCAAGTCTCGAAATTCATTAGGTCATTGGTCCATTTAACAAATATTTATTGAGCGCCACAGTGTGCCCAGGCGGTGCCAGGCTCGTGCAGGTAACTCTGTTTGCCCCTAATAGTTGCCCTCGAATGCTGTGGTTTCCGAAACCAGCGCTCTTTCATTCTGAAGCAAACTTGGAGATGGTCACAGCTGCCAGAAATCACGAATCATTCCTTAGCCGCTGGAAGAGTTTTTGTAACCAGCTGGCAGTCTCAGGAGGGCCTGGGACCTGGAGAAAAGTGGAATGCTCATCTCTTCCTTTTCCCCTAAACCTGTGCCTCTTCCTTCTGTCCCCCTTTCTATGCTTCCATAGTTCTGACCTCTCCTCCAACGACCAGGGGGACCCACTTCTGTGGCTAGTATCCCTTACATTCTGTCCTCTCCTAGGAACAGAATCATCCCTCACCCACAGCCGTGTTCTTCAACTCTCTTCTGTGCAGGAGTATTCATTTTATTTTATTTTATTTTATTTTATTTTATTTTGTTTTGTTTTGTTTTATATATTTTTACATCATTTTTCATTTTTGCACAATGTATCCATTTTCATCTTGGTTATAGTCCCCATACAATTCCCACCGCCTTATTTTGACTGTAACCCCTAGTGTGTCTCTGGTTTATAGTTGCTTGTTTATTTTGATTTTTACTTTATTATAGTTAGTCTTTTTCCTGGTTCCTTATTTAGGTTTTCTAGCTTCCTGCTATGAGTGAGACCATCCGGTGTTTTTCTTTTTCTTTCTGACTGATTTCTCTGAGCATGATCCCTTCCAACTCCATTCATGTTGCTGCAAATTGCATGAGTTTATCTTTTTTGATTACTGAGTAATATTCCATTGTGTATATGGACCTCATCTTTGTGATCCAGTCATCAGTTTTTGGGCATTTGGGTTGTTTCCATAGCTTAGCTATTGTAAATAGTGCTGCTATAAACATAGGGGTGCAGATGCCCCTTTGAATTAATGTTTCTGTGTCCTTTGGGTAAATACCTAGGAGTGGAATTGCTGGATCATATGGAAGCTCCATCTTTAGTAGGTTGAGGAATCTCCACAGAGCTTTCCATAGTGGCTGGACCAGTTTTGTGCAGGAGTATTCCTTGACTCCCTACTGCCTTCCGAATTAACTCCCCAGGACAAGTGCTGGTTCATATGGAGCACCCAGCATGGTGAGTCTCTCACCACAACTTTACCTGTCTTGGGCTGAGCTCTACCTGGAGCATCACCACTTCCTCCCATACACTTCCCTCTGTTCAAGTTTGACCCTTTTTTTCAGGTCCCTCTTAACAGTGACCTCCCCTTTTTTCAGCCTCCAGGGCATAGGAGAGGTTGGAACAAGAATGCACGGGAGAGCACCAGGGAATTCTGCCTATACGAAAAATCTGCCAGCCTGCTCCTTAAACTGTTTTTCTGTTTTCTCACCACTAGGATTTTAATGAAAATCAACATTACCTCCTCCCTTGAGAGCTGGTTTTGGAAAGGTCTCTGTAGAGGACACTGAAGAAACTCTTTGTTCATTAAGAGCTGGAAATTTTAGTGATAGAGCAATAGGGAGTGATTATTTACTGCAATACTTGAGCCTACACTGTCCTGGGCAGGTGAGTGGAGGAGCCAGGAAAAAGGAAGCATCACCAACGATAAACAAGGTAGGCTTGTTATTTTATATGGTTTTGTAATTCTTTTATTGAATTTAGTAATGTCAAACATCACCAATCACCTGATGACCCCGAAGATGAATTATTTTTTTAAACTGGGCGCATGGGAATTAGATTACTACAAACCGATGGATGCATAGCAGTTAACATTGAGCTTTCCAAATGAGTCATTACTGTAAGTAATCAAAGCAAATCTAGGTCCACTAAGCAGAAAAGTATCTGAGTGTGATAATCAACATCACCCCATCCTGGAAAAGATCCTTCTCCAAATCTTTGCAAAGAGAGCAGGTTCAGATCAATGTCCTTTGCTTACCCCCTCACTCCCTCCCTAAATGAGGCTGGAGGGAGCCCTGTCCCTGAGGCTGCCTCACCACATTGGAATGTCTGAGCTAACAGTGCTTCCAGAGGGTTCATTTCTCCTCTGAACAGCACTGCCCAGACTTTCTGGAGATTTTAATTCACTCCCCAACCTCGCCAACAGTTGCACACAAGGTGCCTTTTTTACACCCTGCTCTCTGTTCAGTGAAACACACAGACCATCTCAGGGGAACAATGGCCCCATTCAAGACTTTTTCAAAAGTGCAGCATATAACCTCCATGCTGTGGGTTGCTGCCAGCCATTATCTGGAGGAAGAAAGACTGTCAGATAAAGTGCTGCGAATTGGAGCACTGAACAGTTTCCATGGAAAAATTCAGCTTCAATAAGCTAAGTTATGCATCTTGGTCTACAAGTCCATTCAGTCTAGTCAAAAACAACAACAACAAAACCCCCAAGATACAATGCTGTGGAGACTTTACGTAAATATGGTGCATCTATGTTTGAAATTTCAGAAGCAAGCCCACATCTCTTTTGACCTTGTTACATAACAGTCTCCATTTGATGGAAATTGATTTAAATAGGTGATAAACATTGGAGCTAGGGAATTTAGTAGTAAAATCATTTTAAGTAATGGACTCATCTTCCTACTTTCTTTCTTTCTCTCCTATCCTGCAATTTTTCAAATGGGGTAAGGATAAGGGGGTGGTCTCTGACTCCATGGGTATTGCTGCCAATGGGAGGCCCCACACCCCCTACTGCACATAGAAAAAAGATTGGCCTTTCGCCACTCTCAACAAACCAGCCATCAGTTAACCCATTTTTAAACAAATCTGTAGGCTGGGAACTGAGTTATCAGTGTAGGCACGATTGACAAACATATGGATCTTTGTTAAACAGGAGCTAATTTGGAATTTGCCAACAGACATCTGGGTAACCTTGAAAGCCAAGGAACCACTGAGGAATAAGCCCTAAGTTAAGTAGCTGCCATTTCCTTCCACTCCATGACACTGTATCAGACTGTACAAGGTTTACCAACTAGGCTCATGAATTCAGACAGTGAGGAGAGAGCCAGAAACACACTTTCCAGACTTAGTACTGTGAAGTTAGCAGGCTAAGGCAGTTTGAGGTTGATGAAAACAAGTTTATTAAAGTAGTAGGTGACTCCTTGAGGTGGTTAGGAGTGAGGGTGGAGAAACTCTAGTGGGAACTCTGAGTGAAGCACAGAAAGATGATCCTAAATATGATCTGTTAACTCAGGCAGTATGAGGAGCACAGAAAAGGATGACTTAAGTTTCACTCTCTAGCTATGAACTCTTGTGCCGGTTACTTACCTATCTGTGCCTCATTTTCCTGTTCTGTAGACTGTACCTAACCCCTAGGGTTATTGTAAGGATTTGTTAATTAAGTAAATAAAACCCAGAATTTTATTTCCATTTATACCTGTAATAATTAAAATCCATTATCTCCTTTGAATATTGCAAATATCTTGCTAATATATTGATAGAAATTCATTTTTTTTCATGGGCCATTCTTGAATCTCATTGTACTATTAACAAAAAGTTGGTCCACTCAATTGTCTCAGGGAGCCATAACTAAAAATTATAAAAGCACGATTTTAAAAAATGTTTCAGCTTTTCTAGTACTCTAAAGCATAGATATCTACAGTAGAGTTCTGTAGATGTAGTTTTTAAGGTTTTATGTTGTCTTAGTGGTCAAAATGTTCCTTAGAGGAAGAGAGTCTGATATAATTATGAAAAAAGTAATATGTTTGAAAAATATAATTTTTTTTCCAAAAACTTTGTTTGATTAAGTCTGTTAGGAAAATGGCTGTGCCTCCTGCGTGACCCTAAGAGCTATTAATTGTCAGTAGATCAGACTGGCCCCTAAAGGTGGGGGAAGGGGATTTGCCTAGGCCAATTTTTTCACTGATTCTTTAACTGGAAACTTAGTGCTGGTTAGTTATATAAGTCCCTAAATGGCTCATTCTTTGGTTTCTCCACCACTTCTCATTCCCTAATGTTAGTGTGTTACTATCTGTTCACCTTCCCAGACCTTTTATTAATAATTATCATCCTCAGAATATCCCCAATCACTTTTTCTGCCAGAAAATGATAATGATGGCTGGAATTTAGTGCTTACTACTGTGCCATTCTTTTATTCATTCCTTCAGTAAACATGCATTGAGCACTTAAGTGACAAGCATCATTGTTCTAGGTTCTAGAAATGTATCGGTGAATACAACAGTCAACAAAATCTCTGCCTTCGTGGTGCTTATATTTCAGCGGGAGTAGACAGATGATAAACTGAAAAGAAGTAAAGCATATAGTATACTACAAGGGGATAAATGCCTGAGAGAAAGAAGGGAGGAAGGGAGACAAAAAGCACTGCAGGGCTTGAGAAGGACTGCGATTTTAATTAGAATGGTCAGGTAAGA